CCCCAAAACCCCAAAACCCCAAAACCCCAAAACCCCAATACTTAATGTCAGAATTGACAAAAGTTGGCTTATACTTTGAGTTACATAAACTTTTTCATCTCAATAGCCTTGATGATGGCTGTTTTCATCTTCCCAAACTTCCTCTGGGTTTTTTCAATTTCTCTCTTTTCGTCCAGTTCTAAACTGGCTAAGGCTTCATGTAGGGTTTCAATAGAGAATTCTCCTAGAGATTCACAAATTTTCTTTGCCTTTGAGGTATCTAAAGACTCATCAGGACCTGCTGCAGTTGCTCTGTTAAGTCTTGAAGAATCTGGATAAACTGTTTTGATGGGCTGGTCATGGTCCTCACTCTCTTTTTGTTCACCCTTTCGTCCTGTTTCTAGAGCTATTTTCCTGAAATGTTTACGAGGCTGAGGAGGGTAATTTATCTTAGCCCTCACACTTTCTTGCTCGTATTCTTCTGTCTCTTTGGCGCTATTTTTGGGACTTATGAATGGTTTGGCAAGGTCATTATAATTTTTAACTTCTCTGTTTCATCCAAAACTATCGCTACTGCTGGAGTACTCTTGAGCAGCCATTTCTCTAAATACTGAAATCATTTTAGGCGACTCTTTTACATTAAGCAAGTTAGTAAATTATTTGAAATTTGGAGGAATTGTCCATAATTCTGAAGGAAAAATATTTCAAGTTCAAACCACCTAACCAAGAGTGCTAAATCTTATTCCTATTTTATATAGTTGCCTGTATAATTCGTAGTTGAAAATTTTAAGAAAATTATTGAGATTTTGGTGTGAATATCAGTTGATTCTCACAACAGTCACTTCAAAGCTAGAAATCGATCCTATCGGAATCGAACTAAGGTTTTTAAGGTCAGAGATTAATTGAGCAATTATGTAAATATCTTGATGGGGATTGCTATATTATATCTCCGAAAGATTTTGACAGGACTTACTCTATCCTCTTCCTCTGATTATTATACACATTAGAGTTTTGATAAGGAACTGTGACTTTTCTCTCCTCTGTAGACCCGTTAATATCTTCATTTTCGGCAGCATTAGGGTCTCTCAGTAGCTTGACTGAGGAGAATACCTCATCATCAGGTTCAATAAACCTTCTGCTGTTGGTATTCTCAGGAAGGATTTCTTTATTTTTAAATTTAAGATTGATCAAATTAAAATTATTTCCTTTACTTTCTTCAGTTTTATCCTCCCGGACTGAGTCGTTAAAGCAGTCTTGTCTAAAAATTAGAGTAAAAGTACTGTTCAGAATTACTTTCCTTCTTTGGTTCTGCCATTTTCTGGAGATATTGCTCGTAAGCCTTCTTCCCCTTTTCTTTGAAGTTGTCAAAATAATTTTTGCCTATGTTGTGGTCTTCTTCAGCTCAGTCGATTCCATTATTTTTGAAGTGCTGCATGAAAAATGGCTCTTTTTCAGGCTCTTTAGAGGATCCCTTTTTGGAATTACTAGAACCCTTAGCACGATGATCTACAAAAGTATCGTCATTTTCGTAGATAGGATATGTATCACCAGCTTTATAAGTCTCCTCATTCTCCTCCTCTGTGAACTGTTTTTGCCTTTCAGCTTCGATCTGATCTATTAAGCTATCTATTAGTTCAGAAAGTAAACTTGATCCAGCCGCGTTTTTCTCAATGAATGGATGATTCAGGAGCTCAAAGGCTTCCGGCCTTTCCTTTGGATCAATGGTTAGTCACTTAGACACGAAGTCATTCATCTCTGTACTCCATTTATGAGGATCCGTAAGCCCTCTTGGAGGATCATTTCTGATTTTATTCATTACCATCTGCATTCGGAGGTTTGAGTACGGTGGATCTCCCTCCGCCATTTCAATAATTGTGATTCCAAGAGACCAGATGTCTGTTTTATTTGTTATATTCTGAATGCATTAGTACTTCAGGAGACATCCATCACGGAGTCCCTGTCATTGTCTTACTGTTGTCATAAGTATTCATAATTTGAGTGCAGACACCAAAATCTGCAATTTTAACAAGACCTTCGCGGTTAAGTAGAATATTCCCAGCTTTTATATCGCGATGGATCATTTTTCTTTTGTGCATATAATCAAGACCTTTCAGGACATCTTTTATTATAGTTGCTATTTCAGTCTCTGTGAGGTTGTGGTCAGCAAATTTAATAAGGTCATTAACACTGCCTGCGTTACAGTATTCGATCACAAGCCAGAGCTCTTCGCCTTTAATATAACTATCATGGTAGCCAACAATATATCTACTTTTACATTCTCTAAGGATTCTGATTTCCTTTTTGAGGCTTTCATAGTCAGCACTGACTAATCACTTTTTAACGGCATATGTGATTCCTGTTTTCTTGTTGATAGCTTTGTAGACCTCTCCATAACTGCCTCTGCCTATTCATTCCAGAATTTCAAAGACTTCGTCCGGGTCTTCTTCAGTAATGCTTGGTTTTGAAGACTGTATTGGCTCCATTTTAGTGTTTTGATGCATTCCATTTGAAGGAGGCTGTTGTAAAGCTATGGATTAGATACATTTACTTACCTTCTCCTGCTTTAGAGCTTAAAAACTTCTGTAATTGACTTGGAGCTAGGCGGAGTTTGTTTTCCATTTTCAAATATTTTACAAACCTAAGGGGTTTTGGGGTTTTGGGGTTTTGGGGTTTTGGGG